CGCACTTCTGCGTGGTCAAAAACCAGTTATTGCCAGTAAACGTGTAACGAAAACAACATAAATAGTCGTAATCCATGGAAAATCAAAAGGAAAGCAAATGCCTCAATTTTTTTCTTAAATCTTGATTTCTAATGGTGTTTTGTTTTTCGTTATTTCATCTGTTGTAGTAGAAAAAGGTGTGATAAATATTTACCATGAAAATAAATTTTGAAAGACTTTCTGAGGTATGCGAGAACTGTGTCAGTTTTACTCTTTCTAATTCGTCCAGTTTAACACGTATGGAATTTTCTTTAGGATGACGGCCACTTGGTGCTGCCGTTTTTGTTGAAAAGGTTTCAAAAGTTGGCGCACTTAAAGACTAAGTTGTTTTGATTACAGTACACTCGAACGTACCATGGTACAGCGCCGGCGAGATAGCTGAAAAATATCGGTCCACACACACATTGATCACTTACTTTTAACTTAAAGAAGAATGAATATGCTTGGAAGAGAATAACGTACGAAGTTCTTTGAACATCAAATCTTGCATCAAGAAAAATTTTCATTTTCGCTGACTGAAGATCTCTTTAACGGTAGTGCACCGCGATGTTGCGAATGCTGAAATCATGCAGCAATAATCCCTTCTTTTCTTGCGGTTTGCTCAGCAAGTATATAGAACTACGACACTTAATAAATATTTTAGTTAATATAAATATGATACATCATATTATTTCATAAAACTGCTTTTGCCCAAAAATTTTCCGCATTAGTTCTAAAACATATTACATTTCAGGAACTACAATACAAGATATCTACGGTCAAGTTTTCGAAAGTGCGTCTCCCACTCCGTCTCACGCTTTTATTTTCGATCCATAACAATCAAAACAAACTCAATTTTGTGACACATGAAAAACCAACCAAAGCAAGCGATTACAAACCTTTTATACATATGTCACACGCAATAAAACACAACTAGAAATCAAGATTTAAGAAAAAATTGAGGCATTTGCTTTCCTTTTGATTTTCCATGGATTACGACTATTTATGTTGTTTTCGTTACACGTTTACTGGCAATAACTGGTTTTTGACCACGCAGAAGTGCGCTAGCACGACGAAGGGCAGCCTGTAGCAAAAACAATATCGTAGAATTATAATATCTTAGAATTTTTTCTTTGCAAAATAGCACGTACCATTTTGAGGTCTTTACGGTAACGTTGATTTCGGATTGTACGACGAATTGTTGTCAATACACGTCGAGAATCTTTTTTTAGTGTTATTTTTCGAATTGATTTAGCTGGTTTTTGACGATCTACAAATAGGTGAAATATGCTGGACATCAGTCTGCTTTAACATATATATAAAAATGTGTTTTACATACATTTTGTTTTGGCTGTTGTAAACACAACACCTTTTCCATCTTTTGTCGGCTCAACACCAATAACTTTTTTATTAACTAAACCATTGAAACGAAGTGAATTTCGGCTTTTTAAATTGTTTGGTTCCTAGTAAAGAAAATACAACAGAATTTGTTGTTCCGAAACGAGTACATGGTATCTCCTTACAGTTGTAAGTGTACAAAGTTTTCGTTTTTGAAGAAATGATGAATTATTTCGTATAATTATCCACTGAACATGGCTAGATGCTTGAATAAGTCCTAAGCAAACAAACAAAGAGTATTGCTTCGTGCTTAAAAAGAAGCACGAAATAACATACGTGCTTGCTTTGATGATTTCATGATGATATCATCGGCTTTGTCTCGTTATAAGCTTTAATCTGAAATACATTAGTGAGCACTTCGTTTTCCTAGTCCAAAAGTCAGAAGAAACGTGATTATGATCAAAAGACATGATGATAGAATAGATAACTTTTTTCGGCAACACCCGTCATTACTTACAAGAAAACCTTTTTAAATGGCTTTGATAGTTAGTTGATTAGAAAATTCAGTGAAGCCATGTTTGAATAACATAATGTTATCACAGTTCTTCGCCGATAAACCATCAAGAAATTGCTACATACCTCAAACAGAATCTCTCTTTATTCACTTTGTATGCATGCTTTCTTTATTTCTACATTATTTCATGGATCAGGAATATGCGTAATCGGACCGTTAAAAAGATAGTCGATGACCACTCACTGTCACATCGAAAAGTGGCTCTCAGATTAAGAAATGTTGGGATGAGTTAGTTGATGATCGACACAAAAACCTGCGAAAATTGTATCATATCTTAGTCAACTGAGATTATATTTAACGATCATCAGTCAGAGAACGTCGCTCATCGAGTCATTAGCTCCAGTTGTTCGGTCGATCAGTAAAAAATTGATTGGTACAGACATGCTTGAAAATACGTTATCAAGACTCTACAGGAGAGAGAAGCAGAAAACTGCAAGTATAACTAAGAGCAGGACCCACATTCATTGTCTATAGATGAAAAAGCTTTTGGTTCTTTGTCTGCACAAAATACTGGACATGAGCAAAACGGCTAAACGTGCTATTACTGTGCAGTATTTTTTATTGGTTGGTATCTTCTGTTAATTCTGACGTCACCTTTACGTTATTCATTCACATTCTTTTCTTTTCCACGTGTTTAACGCCCTCCCTATCCCTCACACGGAAAAAAAGCAAAAAGTCGTGAAAAACAAAAAACAGATAAATAAAAAACAAAGAATGACACAAAGAAAAGACAAAAGTTAGTGGTTCTCAAATAGTTTGCTATCGTAGGAAAAATTTTGTTCTATTCTTTTTCGAATTTTCTCTATTGATCGATTTATTATCATTTAAAATATTCCGAGAACGAAACAAAAGTGCGAACGTTTTTCTTGTTATTTTCGTTTTGTAAAAACATAAAAGCTATCTCGAAAACATGGTTCAAATTGCTATTTAATAGATTATGGCTTGTGCACATGTGAAGCAGAGAAAAGACTCAAAAGGTACGAAACGGAAAAACAAAGAAATTAAGTTATGTTAACCATAATCTTCCTTGTTTTTTAGAAACAACAGTAAATAGCTTATCACAACTTTGTATCGAATCAAAAACTGATTTTAATCTAAATTCAAGCTCTCGTCTCTGTTTGTTGTGTCCATCGCCAACAATAACCGCTGCTAGTCGTACTAATTTCTGTTTCGATTTTCTACTTCGTTCGGCCGATTATCGTTTACAAATAATGCGTTTATTTTGGTTAAATTTTGCACAACTCGTCTTCATTATTTTGTTTTTCTTTTTACCAACATTTTTACGCGCAATTAACCATTTTGATTATTCAATGTTATTGAAACCAAAGCCGACATCTCACCCTTCATCACAATCACTGTTCGATTTATTTTCATCTACAACAGATAATTTTACTACCGTCGATAATTTCTCCTATCATGAACAACAATATGATCGTTATTTGTATTTTTCAACGAATGAGCGTTTAAGATTGCGAGATGAATCGAAGAAAATGTTTGAGTTTGCTTACGATAATTATATGCAATACGCATTTCCGTTGGATGAACTAGATCCAATTCATTGTCGCGGAAGGGGACCCGATGTCGAGAGACTGTGAGTTTAAAGAAGAAAAATTATGTGTGTATTAAGAGAGGAAATAATTGGAGAGAATTTACAATGTTACGTGTCTTTCTTGTTTTAGTGACAATATAAATATTAACGATGTGTTGGGAAATTATTCGCTAGGATTGGTGGATAGTTTAGATACGTTAGCAGTAAGTTGAGAGTGTGATGCTGCTCTCGTTGATTTTTACTAAGATTAAGTAGTTTCTGTCGCAATGCTAATCCGTATTTTGAGAACGGAATTATTGATGTCAGTGTACAGTTCTTACCTTGTGGCCAGAGCAGTCTACGTTTTGCAGATAGCTAAATATCTGTTTTGATCCGACAACTATTTCATGGTTTAGGTTATGGGAAATGCCACAGAATTTCAGCATGCTGTTAAGCTTGTTATTGAACACGTGCGATTCGATAGAAATACCACGATACAAGTATTTGAAGCCACAATAAGGTAATTGCGTGACATGTTTTTAGTTATTAAAGAAATATAACTTTTCTCCTTGTAGGGTACTTGGTGCACTGTTATCCGCACATTTACTTATAATTGATCCTCTACAACCATTTGGGGATCTTGCTATACCAAACTATGCCAATGAATTACTCGATTTAGCACATGATTTAGCCTCAAGGTTGCTACCGGCCTTCGAGAATGTACCTCATGGTCTACCTTATCCTCGGGTATGGGTTTATGAACATCGAAAAGAGTGATCAACTAACTATACTCTGGCTGCATTTAGGTAAATCTGCTAACTGGTGTTGTATCTGGCATGAGAAACGATACATCGACAGCTGGTGCGGGAAGTCTGTCGTTAGAATTCACAATATTAAGTCGATTAGTTGGTGATCCTATATTTGAACGTGTCGCGCGTCGTGCGGTCAATTCTCTGTGGACAAGGCGCAATCAAATCACTGGTTTGTTAGGTACAAAGGGTATTTTTCAATGATCTATTCCAAAGAACTATATAATTTTTTTCTTCTAGGAAATGTCATTGATGTGGAAACTGGTGAATGGATAGGGCAGAGTTCGGGTCTCGGTGCTGGAATCGATTCATTTTTTGAGTATTTATTAAAAGTATGTATTTTTTTATGAACTCCTCTCTGAACTATGCGTTAGGAAAAGAGAAATGAAAGTTTATGGAGGAGAATTATCCGCACTCATTCCCTCCTCTGAAAACGATGACGGATAAGATGCATAAAAATTGTGAAGTTTAGGACTGCGCGTAGGCAATGTGATTTACGAGAGAGATATACGAGATTATATGCAGCCTCGCAAGAATTTGGCAGCTTTTCGCATTGGCTGATCAATCACAAAAATGCTTGTTTTGGATTATTTTCAAGCATGTGTTGTCGAATGCTTGCTGATTGGTCGGCCAACATGGACGCTGAAAACTCACGGAGCTGAACAAGATTAGCCCTGTACATCTCCAATTCTTGTATCCACTTTCTAACGAGCAGTTTCATCTTTAGACCTGAGGAGTTTTCATTGACATGTTTTTCTGCCATCATACATCTCAAATATTGATTTGTTCAGAATTATATATTGTTCGGTGAGCAAGAGGACTTGAACATGTTTGATGACGCGTACCAAGCAATTTATGCTCACATGCGGAAGGGGTAAACAGATTTTCATACTAAAAAGTTCTGACGGTTAAAAATTATTTTCTTTTAGTCGAGTGAATTGTAAAGAAGGCGTGGGTCTCCATCCAATGTATGTGAATGTAAACATGCACACCGGAGCTGTATCAACAACTTGGATTGATTCTCTGCAAGCATCATTTTCTGCCGTTCAAGTGTGTATGCTTGTTGGTTAATGTTAGTTAACTTAAGATTGAAATTGATGAGTTATTTTGCTGAAATACTCTTCTCATCATTGTTAAATGCTAATGTTGTAATCTCATTTTAGGTTCTGCTTGGAGATATTGACGAAGCAATATGTATGCACGCCCTTTATTACAGTATTTGGCGAAAATTTGGTGTTTTACCAGAAAGATTCAACTGGCACGTGAAAATGCCGGATGTTAATTTTTATCCATTGAGACCAGAATTTGTCGAAGCAACATATTTTCTTTATCAAGCAACAAAAAATCCGTTTTATCTGCATGTTGGCCGTGATATTATAGAAAATCTGAACTATTACACAAAAGTCAAGTAAGTAATTAACTAATGTGTTTAACCTGCAACCGTGAGGGGCACTTTTCTTTTTTATAGATGTGGATATGCAACCGTGCATGATGTAAACGATAAAACATTGGAAGATCGAATGGAGAGTTTTTTCTTAAGTGAAACATGCAAATATTTGTATTTGGTAAGTCGAACTAACTGCTTAGTTTCAGATGATATATCGAATTCAAATTCATCTGCTGTAGCTCTTTGATGAAGACAATTATTTGAACAAACAAGGTGCTAATCATTATATATTCACAACCGAAGCTCATATCATACCGTTAATGTCAAAATTACGGAAAAAGGTTTGGGAAAATGATGGATTTTCTAGTCCTACATCGCCTGCTAATGAGAATGTATTCGTTTCGTCCGACAACTGCGAAACGAAGAAGAATGTTTCTAATAATAAAAAGAAACGAAAATCAACCAAAACTAGTATGAAAAACGAGATAATACAGATTCATCTCGGTGAATCGACGACAAAAAAACCAGTGACTGTGATAACCAACGTTATTACAAACAATACGAGAAAAGTTAATGAATCCAGTGTAAGTCTGCTTTTGTTCAGGTCTCAGATATGAGACTAATTTTTGTTGTTTCAGTGTCGTTCTCGGCCAATTGAACGTCATACATTACCTTTGAGTGCTGCACTTTTATTCCAATTGGATGAAATGGTTGGAGTGTATCCTCCTCGATAACCGTGATCTTGTTTACGCTTCACATGTCTCTTTTCATTCTTTTTTATATCCACAATATTTCTTGCTCTTTCGAGCTGTATATTTTGTGTATTATACTTTCTCGATTGTCTGAACAGTTTTTATGTGTGAGCACGTGTCTTTCATTCTAATATTCTTCTTTTGCGAAAAACAATTGCCATATATTGATGCCTTAAGTTGTCAGATCACTCATGTCTCCCTTGTTTTGTCTAATGTGTTGTTTTTTATAGAGATGTATATATTTGTTACTTGCTGTTTTTCTATCCACATGCAAAACAAAAATGTCTTTCAACGAAAAAATTGTTATTTATTGTTGTTGTTAATTATTTTTGTACGAAATCACACCTGTTTTTATCGAGAAAAGGCTTCGATCGAAATTTGTTTCTTGGTATCAGTTATGTCAATCGAGACAAAATGCTCACTAGTATAAATAAAATCATTTAAGAATGAAAAAACAACAGAAAAAGTCTTCTGCATGGGTTATATCTGAAATCTGTTTTGGGTGAAAGCTAAAGGTTATTGTTCTCGTCTAATGCCGCTTATCTTTAATGTTGAGGCATTCCAAATTTTGTGATAAGAAAGATCGGAACTACGTCTATCCTCCTAACAGAAACTTCGGAGAAAAAAGGTGTATGGCGACTTTCAATGTCATCAAAAGTCCCTTTCTGCTTAATGATTCAATTCATTTATATTCTTGATGAACAATGACTCGAAATAATTGTTCAACAAAAAGACGTTTAAATTGTTTGATCAATTGTATCAGTAAACTATCACTCGATCAATCAAATATAATTGAAATATTGTTCTATAAATTTTATCTCACACTTCGATATGCACAAAAGTCGGGTCATCATTGATTCTGATGAAGTATCATTTTAGATCTTGCACATAGAGATAACCGAACATAACTGAAGATGATAGTTGGACAAGTTTTACTGGGCCTTTCGGGACTCGGTGTCTCACTTTATTCATATTATGTGAAAAAACAGCATGAAAAAAATCCACGATATAAAGCAATGTGTGATTTTGGTCCACATTCAAGCTGTTCGCGTGTGCTCAACTCCCAGTGAGTATAAACGGAACAATTCGTTGATTTTCTGGTTATGCTGCTTCCTTCTCATTATAGATACAGCAGCGGTTTTGGTTTAACAAATAGTTTATTCGGAACCAAAAGTTTTATGAATGCATCTAACACAACATACGGTGCCCTGTTTTATCTCTTACAGATCATATGCGGTAAATATGACCTAGTTCCTTTAGAGTCTAAACGCGCTTAAGCTGCTTCTTTGAGCGAATGCAGTATAGCCAATCAGCTGACATTTTGAGTTCTGATTCGGGAATGCTGGATGTGTGCAATTAATACTTATCTTTTAGGTACGATTGCTACGCCGCTACTGACCAAATTCGCATTTTTTTCCGCAATATTGGCAGCATTGGGATCATTGTATCTTGCTGTTATATTGGCGTTTGTGTTAAAAGATTTTTGTCTTGTTTGTATAACATCCTACGCTATAAATGCTGGCTTACTTTGGCAAACATACAAGGCCGTACAATAAAAAAGAAATGAAGACTTTTAACAGATATTCTCGCTAAAGCATTTTTTTCGACCATTTCTGTTCCACTATGAATGTTAATTATATGTTTCCGTGTTCTAGTAATGTCTTTTAACGACAGTCCATTATTTTTTGTTTGTTGACAAAAGCGGTGTATTATGAGCTTGTTCCACTTTTTGAAGTTCGTCGAAATAAAACATATTGAAATATGTTAGTATCACTGTATTATGTGAACCTTAGTTAACAACAATGTGTCGGTTATCAAGAAAGGTTTTAATGCATATGTTAATTGATAATTTTGATACAATGTGTTTGAATACTTGTGTGTGATTTCAACTAGTACACTGATATAATGTGTATGCTTTCAGAATGCAAGAGGAATAAACTTCATTATGGTACTGTCGAACTTAAAATATCGGTCTATGTGAAATACTTGCAGTAATGTTGACTTAAACAAGTATTATTGAAAATGCCAATCACCAAATCAATTAAACAAAATTTAAATTTAAGAAAACATATACAAGAAGAATATATAGCAATTTAATAGTAAATTAATTAGTTTAGTTTCAGCGTTATTGCAAATTCATTAGCGGACAGACTAAAAAAAGAATATAAAGAGAATATATACAAGAAGTATGAATAGAAATATGAAAGATATATGAAATATGTCAACAGCTGACGGTTTTTAAATTATATTGCCAGAGGTTGTTTTTTGAAATGTTATGGGTTTTGTCAAGTCACAAGAGCTATAAATAACTGCCCTAAACTACCCAGGTCGGTCAAAACGACTATCCGTATTTTCACCGTAAATTTGCTTCATACGGCATCGTAAACGGACCGTATTTTCTCCGAATATTGGGAACAGTAATATGGCACCGTATACGACGTCGTATTTTCACAGTATACGGCCGTATACGTGCTGTAATCTCATTATGATAGGGCCGTATTACTGTTCCCAATATTAGGACCGTATACGGTTCGTTTATGCGTCGTAAAGTAACCGTATACGGACCGTATCGTTCGACCTGGGTACAGATGATATCATCAAAGAAATATCGAAGCAAGAATAGAAAGTATTGCACACAGCAAAATCGTAGGATGAAGCGAAAGAATACGCAAAATTACAGTTTAACGTTTGCCAACATCGTCGATCAGATTTCAAAAACCATAAAAAAAACAATAAAATTTCAAAAGCCGTCAACTGTTGACGTGTTTCATATATCTTTTTTATTTCTGTTCATACTTCTTCTTGTATATATTTTCTTTATATTCTTTTTTTAGTCCGCCCACTAATGAATTTGCAATAACGCTGAAACTAAACTAATTAATTTACTAGTAAATTGCTATATATTCTTGTATACGTTTTCTTTAATTTAAATTTTCTTTAATTGATTTGGTGATCAACAAGTCACTTTTCTGGTGATCGAAAACATTGATATCCTTTTTTATTCTATTTAATAAACCTCAAAGCTTGTCTCATCGGTCTATTGTTTGTATGTCGAACGTCTCCCTTTCGGAGAGAATGGAAAATAACATGGACGCAATTTTTTTAATTATTCTGAAAAATAACTACAAACATTTGTGCAGGGTGGACGCATTTATCTGCGTTTGATTATGAGCTGAAAAACATTGGTTATGACTACAAACGTAGGAAAAAACGCTGTATTGTATAAAACGAAAATGGTTCCAATTTTATTTCTAGATGAAATAATGGCAAGATACTTTTTTTAGGATTCGAATACAATAAATATTTTGATTATACCTCAACATTTTTCGTCCTAAATGATAATATAATTACGCCATTCACTCCCATTTATTTATCATTGAAGTTAGATATCAATATGGTCAAACATACTATTTATTACTAAAAACTTTGAACAAGAATATCAGCTTTGTAAAAGAATAATAACAAAAAATTATGTGAAGAAAATTATTGGCGATCTTCATCATCAACATTAACAGGTTCTCCTTCTGTTAATATTGCTGTTGACAGCGTTGAACTGTGTCCTATATGTGCAGATGAATCGTCATCAAATAAAACAATAAAAAATGCTAAAGTTCCAAAAAATAAAAATATAACCACAATAAGTAACTGATATGGCAGCGCTAATGCACCAGCATAAAAAAATGCAATTGCAGACATAAGAGACTAAAAGAGAGCCAAAAGAAAATCTTTGTCTTTTTGTACCTTTAACACATACTAAGATTAGACATACCTGGACTAATTTAAAAATGGCAAAAGCCGAAGCACTAGTCTCTTTGTATCTTCCAGCCAAAACATTCATTAGCTAAATAAGAATGTTAATTAAACACTGACAAACGTTAGAAATAATTGTACATACTTGAGTATTTAAACTACTATCGCCTAAACCAACTAAGAAACTTCCAACGAATGTTATTGTTTGGCTAACTGATTTACTTAAAAGATTGCAATCAACTAATATAAAATTATCTCTGATTCAACAAAACAAGTTTTGATTTTTACCTAAAGTCAAAATAAGGTATTGTTGATGTTTCAAGAGTAGGAGCATCCGGTGGAAAATTGACAAATACACCATAATACACAATAATTTGTAATAAAAAGCCTGAATGAGAAAAGATAGCAGAATTTATGAGATTATTTCTGCTCAACTGTCTTACCTAGAAAAATAATGAGTGCACGACTAGACGGTGTTTTTGGTTTTGTGATAAATCCGAAGAGTCCACCACCTAAACATGTTTAAATACATATAGTCTGACATAAAGTGAATTGACACTTTCAAATTGTTGATAAAGATGGATGAAGATACAACGAATTTGATCAGAATTCAGGGTCAAACTCTGTTGCATAGAGAATCTGCCTGTAGAATGTTCGGCGAAATATTCAACACTAAGATGACTCAGCTGGTACTATTAACTTCATCTACGGATTAGAACTTTTTTTGTTAGAAGAATTAAATTAAAGATTGTTTATCTCTTAAAAAGACTTTCAGTACTAACCAATAATTTCGCCAACTCCTATCAAGATTCCATGAAGACCGATTAATCTTTTTCGTGTATCGCCATATTTAACATAATGTCCAATACACGTCGCATAAACTGTAAACATAAATGTTTGAGTGAAACCTAAATAAATTGTTTACAAAATTTGATAATAATTGATTAGAATTCTAGCCAATGCTATCCTCGCCTGAGTAGGCAAATGGTAATAAAAGTAAAAGCATATTCCGTGTGCGTAATAATCGTAATGCAATAATTAATTCTTGTAAAATATCTCGAAAGTTTTTCTTTTTTTCTCCAGTAAGAAGTGTTAAATTTTTTTGTCTTCGTTTTTCAATAAATGAACGCCATATAATAAACAGAAACAAAGCTAGACCAACACCACTGACAACAGAAAACACAGTAAACAATAAATAACGTGTTTTTCGTGTAATGATATCTGATCTGACTGATACATATACATATAAGTTTCCAGCTAATAGACTAAATAAGAATATTCATCAGTTATATTAAGTCAATAATCAAACTGTCTGATACTTACCTAACTTGAAATAAAGCCCAAAATACACCGGAATTACGAGATATTGATAATTCATCAGAATTAACTGCCAGAAAGGCACCCTGAGCTGTCCAAATGACTAGAGTGAAGAAAAATTTGATGACAGTTGATATTATTACTCATTTTTGACTTGATGTTTTACTCGCAGCTCCAATTCCGACCAATATTGAAACCAAATAAAATGACCAAATCATTGGCTTAATAAATGACAGAACATATAAGCTGTAATAATAAAAGGAATATCAATATCATGTAGAAATATTCTGGATGTAGAGTTAACCATTTATAAACACTTACAAATACGTCGTTGCACCTATAAACATAGATACTGCTGGACCAAGGATGGAGACAATGGCTGGTGCAAAAATATTTGTAACGGCAAAACAAGAATACAAAATAGCTAAACTAATATATCCACTTCCTTGAAAACTTGTACCATTTACTGTCTCGTTTTTAAGTCCTTCTAAGACACTTTGCTAATATAAAATTGGAAAAAAAATAGTAAATTTTACAATGAAATAAAAAAAGATGTTTGATACTCACTTCTACCATGCCCGTAGCTTGAAATGCCGTAAATAATATCATAAAAGCAGATCCAAGAAGAATTACATTTAGAAGTTTTTGATCCATGGTTAAAAAATATATGCGTCTAAATTGTGAAAAAAAGAAAAGAATTTCGTTCAACTAATTTTTGTTAATAACCTTCGCAGAGAAGATCATTTTTTTTTATAAACATAGACTTGAGAAGATTCGTTACTCACATAAAAAGATAAGAACTGAATAATTTTTTTAGCAAGAAAAATGAATACATTTAATAAAAAAAAAGCAAAGACTATAGTGTAGTAGTATTTATCTCGCCTAGATAAAGGTTCAAGAACTAAGCTACGTGCATCTTTAAAATTCAAACGACTATTTATAATGATAAATATTAGATAGAGAATTTATGAACTTTCGGATGTATTTCGAAAACAATTTTTGTTTTTATTGTTAAACTAGAAGAACTCAAAGCTTTTAGAGTCTAAGTTGTACTACGCATATACAAGACACCGTTATTTTAACTATGTTTTATGCGTTGAACAATAAATTCTGACTTTTTCCCAACACACACTACTATCCGTCTTTTCTTGTAAAAATCGTTTCCGAAAAACACCGGACGACTGAAACTCCTGGCTGATTCTACAGTTTTCGTACATCAACAAACTCCTTCAAAGCTAATATGAGTCAAATATTGACCCTATGCTAAGTATCCGTGTGCCATATGTGTTTCTTTTTGTTTTTTTATTTTATTTGTTTACTTTCTATGTTTTAATGACATACAACGCAACAAAAATTTTCTTAACATGGTTCTTTTTGGTTCTATGTTGTTTTTGATTGAAAATTGTGTTATACAGTATTATTTTCGTATTGAGTGTTCATTACTTGTCAAAAATGTATGCGCCCGTGTGTATGTATCCATATGATTATACAGCTGAATTTTAAACCAATTCAATAACTTACGGTAGATGTGCTACTTCAAACAACTTTATGATGACATCTCTTACATATGACAGGTGAAGGTTGAAGTAAACTGATTGGTCAGCCAGCATCAACCCAGTGACATTGTAATCTTTCTTTGTTTTATAGACTAGATGGGAATTTCCACCTGTAAACATCTTTATAAGGTGTGCTTATTCTGATGCACTTTTTCGTTTGTAATAACGCAAATTTTTTGGAGAGAAGTTCTCAGTGTAAATAAAAACAAAATGCAGCTAATTTTTTCTATCGAGATGTTCACTATCAGAGCTCTATAGTGTATCAACAACAGCTCTATAGTGTAACAATCGGAAAATGCTTATTGAGTAATGTAAACATTCGAATTGCAACGAAGTGTTTAGTAATTCAATTTCTTTGCGCAAATTTGATTTTCAGTCTACATGAGTTTAATGGGATGGAAAGTTTCATCTGATATTAAAAAGTTCATAATTCAATCGAAAATTGTCAGAACCAGCACAAAACGTCACGATATGGTTAATTTTGGTCGTTAAACATTATTATATGATTAAAAAAAACATGTTTTTGTCTAGAAGTTTTCTAAAAATGCTTTCGAAAAACCAAAGGATTTTTTAAGTTCTTTTTCATTAACCTTTTGTAACTAGGATACAAAATACCCTAAATACTATACATCATGTAGTTTTGTGCTGCTTCTAGTGTTTTTCGATTGAATTATGAGTTTTTTAATATTAGATGAAAACAACCTGAAAATTCTAATTTTTGTAAAACTTGTGTTCTTATGTTAAATATTGCCATGAGACTCAGCGCGATCAGTTGCCTGTTACCCTCTCGTTGTCGAGGTTACCAGTAGTTTTTGGGTGCCAATTCTGGGACTCCAAAGAAACTTTATACCATGCCCAAACCGCCGAAAATCACGGTCTCGCTTGACTCTCGTTTTGAAGAGAACACTTTGAACTATCAGTCCATGTAAAAATATCAATATAGCCCTATTGGGACTTTTTGAGACACGACTTGGTTTTTCAAAGAGCAACTAGAAAACTTGTTTCAAAAAATCAGAAAAAAACTTTTGATAACACTGATATTGTCATGTCTCATATCTATTCGTTTAGGCCGTTAGATCTTTTTGTGAATACCTTCGTTATGTCCGATAAATTAACATCAGGTATGTTTCGTTGTATATTTAATTATAGTAACAAAATGGTTCTTTTCTTCTATGCAGATATACCATTTTGGCTAAAGTTCTGCAAAAGTTCTGACTTGTTGGCTAATAATAGTAAAATATTAGAATATTCAATGGTATTAGCTGATCAATATTCTAGCATAAATGAATTATCACAAGCGTCCACTCAGCAGCTGAAATCTTATGGTTTTTCCAATGTCGATATAGTGAAACTATTGAAACAAGCACAATTTCTTGAAAATGAGGTAAATTTAGGGAAAGTTACTGATATGAAAAAGATAGAAGAACACAGAGAGAGAGATTAGCACAATTCGACCGCTAACGTGTGTTATATTAATATCGATGAGGTTGAAAGTACTCCTATTTCTCTTTTAAGACGCGCAAAACGTTACAAGAAAATCATGAATTACCAGCGATATCAGCAAAGAAACGAACAGCAGGTAAATATTGTAAAAGAATTTCACTTGCGTCTACTATTGGCCTTTTTAATTTTTAGCTGCTACTCGAATAATTGAAACATATCTGAGTGATCCTGATGCAAAGCCATTGAATCCATTTGGTACAAAACCAAAAGTATCCGATGCATTATTGTCAAGAATTAGCCTCAAAGATCGTGCAAGAGCAGAGAGTAACCAAAGTTATTCATTGTATATGTTTTTCAAACAAATTTTTTCTTGTTTTAGGACCCATTGTCAGTTACCCATATGACGATCCAGATTCTTTTATAAAAAAAGATTTAGAAGTATAATATCATTCATGTACGGTTATCAAACTTTTATTTATTCATTGTTTTAGACCGAACCAGTTTCATTTGATAAAATAATAACATTAGATCATAATGGCAAGTTACAAACATCTAAAACTTTACCATTTCAATATAACGGTGTTTTAAAGCCATCGAGCGCAAAACTAAACGATTTGAAATCTTCAGCAGGTAAAAATGGTTATAGATATCTATCAATCTCCTTTTTTTGCTATCCAACTAAAAACTACAAATGCAATAGTCGAACAAAGAGCATAATCTATTTTGGACCAGCCTGCGATATACCAAGAGAGAAGAGAAGAGATTATAATTGATCATATCTTGTGTTTATTTAGATAAGAGAAAATCAGTGTTCGGTGTTGGTCGTTTGCAGCGAATATCTGTTAAAAGTCGTCTCGGGAATGTTATCGAAGCACCATCGTTTCTCTCAAGTCGGATAATAACGTCGGCAAATACAACAAAATCGTTAATTAAGAAAACAATAAACAAAGCTGCGACTTTAATCAATCCATTCATTAAACGTTCAATAGCAGAAATAGCAACAGTAAACACAAATGAGACAAACATTGATGCAGATGATCATTCAAACTTAAATGATATACCATCATTAAGTACGATTGATTTACGCACGACGTTAAAACGGCAATGTTATTTAGTTTCCAATACTACTAAAGAACCGTCTTTATTATCACGGTCAATAACCATCGCTCAAATTCCACCAGATAAAACAAATCGAACAGTGACATTTGTAGGAAATAATAAACGTCAACGAGAAGATAATGATGATAATGATAATGATGATGATGAAAATGATGGTTATATACAAACAAGACAAATACAAAATAATGAAAGACGTGTCGAGGTATTGGAGAACAATAAATTACAACCACCAACATTCTCTTTTGATGATTACACACAAGAGTTGATGCAAACAAAATCTAGTATGTATCTAGTGTTAAAATGTGGCAAAATTGACTTCTACAAATCTGCTTATTAATTATTAAAGTTTGCTAATTTCTTTTTCAGTAACAATACCATCTACAAAACGATTTAAACTTGGTCAAACAACTGGTTTTCTCACACGATCATTAGCCAAACAAGGGCTTATTGAATAAGGTTTTTTGTATCTTTTCTTTCTTTTGTATAAATGGATATGTTCTTTTTATACCGATGGTGTTTATTTTAGAATAATGTTGTACTTTTCGTTGCCATGTTCTTATTTTTGGTTCTTTCGACTTTTCTGATTAATTTGGGATTTTGTATTTATTTGTTTGTTCTTTTTTTTCAATGTGATGAACAAAATTTTTTGTTCGACGTGTAATCTTTGTATTAAAATAAGTTGATGTTTCTCGTAGTTAAATTGTTTACTCCCTCTCTCTCTTATACGATTTGTCACGTGACATATCCATTAGCTCTGCATTTTTCGTTTAAACCGTTTTTTTCTTTGTAGATTAATTTTTTCATAGACGAAACCAGCATATTATTAATATGGAATATCGTAAGTAAAAATTTTCTTATAATTTCGTGCTAACTATATGTGTTCTCTAACTGTTGTATATTTGATATAATGAATTGGTATCACCTTAATTGTCTTTTTGTGTGGTTTCGTGCAAACGCTTGAGTATCGTATATCAGACAGCATATCTGAGATAAAGCGTTCATTTTTTACTCTAATTGTCGCAACTACTATGTATTTTTTTCACACTCATCATGGCATGTCCATAACACGTGTGCCTATAAATAATTTTATAGTATCCTATTTTTTTATCTATTTTTCTCACAGAACATAATCAGGATAACTCTGAAGGAGATAAATCCAATAATAACAGATACATAGACAAAAATCAAGAACAAACGAACAAAAATCAGAGTGACGCAGTGGTTGATCCGAGTCAACATGAGTTGGGCGATATGTTTAGCCCTGATCAAATTCAATTACGTGAGTTGTTTTTGTTTTCCGAGTTTTGTCTTTTAATTGAACAGAGAAAATAAGCACAGTCATATTTTTTTTGATTTTTCACTTTTTCACTTCATTTCATAAACCATTGAATTATTGAAAAGGAAAGTTTTCTATTTTGCTGTTTTCAGATTATTTATTTTAACCGTGTAAATGGAGAATGAATATCGTTAATTTGTTTCCTGCATTACTGCACTGCATCATTATTTTGCAAGCCCATCATTCAGTGGAAGCTCAGTATTTCAACTAGCTGCTTTACCGATTTACTCTGTTTTTCTAATGCGTAGATGCTTTGTACTATGTCAATGGTTACTTTGTTATTTTCTCAACGCGAAGAAAATTATAGGTATTTTGTAAGTTATTTATCATTAATCGATTAGATCATATAAATGTAGTTCGGCTTACGAGGGAACCTTTTCAGATGTCAGCCTCCGATTTCAAGACTCTTTTGCCCATAGATCCTTGAAATCGGAGGTTGACATCTGAAAAGGTTCACTCGTTAGACAAACATAACTTTGTTACATTTTCACCTTACTCTGTTCTGTTTTTTCAATAACAACAGTCGATAAATACTTCATTTTTGCGGTATTTTGATGCTGTCAGTTAATCAGTAAAACGATTACCATTTTACTCATTTTCGCTCGATTTTTATAAAAAAATACACAGTGTAATGCTTTACAGTGGAAAATACTCTCAAATTTTTATCTGAAAAGAGAATGACCAGACTACTGCTTCATGGATATCATCTACATCTCTATTCTCTAAAAAAGTTATTTTGTCTGATATATAAAATATTTTCTACACGTTTGTCTACAATTTCTATACGCGGATGTTTCAAGATTGAAGGTGATCTAGACTATGCCAAGTTGTAAAATAGAAAAGCTCTTTATGCTCCGTTTTCCCCTTCATAACAGCAACTGACAAGCTCATGCTTTGCTAACTTTCTATAAAATTAATATTAGTTGATAAATTTTTTTATTTTAGTTGTAAATGCGCTACGTGGATTACAAACAGATGATACTGAAGAAGGCGAACCAGTATTGAAATCATTCGATTTGAAAGGTGCTGCTGATTATATGAAAAATTGTAAGAATATTATCGTTATGTCGGGAGCAGGCATTTCAACCTCAGCTGGAATTCCTGATTTTCGAAGCCCCGGTACTGGTTTATATTCACAATTAGAAAAATACAATTTACCGTTTCCTGAAGCTGTTTTTCATCTAGAGTTTTTCAGAGTACGCTATCATATCCATTCTTTTCTTTTATAATAGTAGAAGATTTTGTTGGATTTTAGACTAATCCAAAACCATTTTTTCTTCTCGCTAAAGAACTCTATCCAGAAAAGTTCACTGTATGTATTGTTTGAACACATCTTACTAGTTATTATATTTAACGTCTACTATTTTAGCCAACACCAGCTCATTATTTTATGCGTTTATTGAACGAGAAAAAGAAATTACTTCGCATATTTACTCAAGTAGAAATTTTTTGTGTGTGAGAATACTGAAAATACTTATATGCTTATTTTAGAATATCGATTCGTTGGAACGTGTTGCTGAAATACCAGCAGATAAAATAGTTGAAGCTCATGGAACCTTTTTTACTGCACATTGTATTGATTGTCAGAAAGAATATTCCTTAGAGTATGTAAAAGGTAATAATGATAAAATTATTATATGAGCGAAGTTTTAATCATTTGACGTTGGTGTGTGTGTCTAGATATAATATTTAAAGATGAAATTCCTACCTGCGCCTGTGGTGGTATTATTAAACCGGATATCGTTTTCTTCGGAGAAAGTTTACCAGAAAAATTTCATACTTTACGAATGAAAGTAAGACTTGTTTATTTACTTTTATTTTAGACTTTTTTTTATCACAGATGCTTGTTATAGGATTTTCCAAAGGCCGATTTTCTGATTATAATTGGAACATCGCTGATGGTTGCACCGTTCAATCGCCTTATCTTAGAGTATGCAATTTTTTATTATAATTTGTGTTTCTTATATTTCACTACTGCTGGCTTGTTGAGAGAGCTTTACACTCATATTTTGTATTATTTAGTCTCGTTTTTCATTTAGAGTGAACAAAGATTGCCCTCGTTTATTGATAAATATGGAACCAGCAGGAACTAAATCTATAAATCTTGTATGTATTTTCTTTGGTATATTCTACTGTATACTAATTGCACTTTTTCTAGTATTCATCACAAACATTAATGTTTGATTCTCCCAAAAATCGACGTGATGTCTTTCACCAAGGATCATGTGACGATGGCACCTATGAATTAGCAAAATTATTAGGATGGGAGGTAAGAGTGTTTTTCAAAAAATAGATATGTTTGTAGCCATACTAAAGTTCTGAGTTCGTGTTTTTTTCATTCTTTTCAGGATGATTTCAAAGAATTGCTAAAATCTGTTGGTGTATCTCCGTCTGGCAAGAAAGCCGAAGCAATTGTAACGCCGACTAAAGAAAGAAAAACCCAAACTTCAGCTGCTACTAATTCTCCAAGTGAAACAAAGGCATCTAAAGCTTCTGTAAAATCGAGTCCACAAAGAACTCGCAGTCACTCGCCGACGAAAAAAGCATCGACAAAAGTGTCCAGTAAAAATGATAATTCTCCAAAAGATAGTCGATTGAATGAAGCGGCGAAAAATGCTGATAAACTAGCTCATGAAATGGCTAAAGCGGCAATATCAGATGATGTTGATCAAGCAGATGATGAGAAGAAAAATGAGAAGAAAAAAGAATTATGATAAACAAACTGAATATGCTTTAATTTTTTTATTCCAGAAAGATATATATATATATATATTTTGTTTTTTTTTATTGCTTCTGATTTCTGGTTTTTTTATTCTTAAAGAAAAATGATTTTGTCTTATATGCTTTCATTTCGAAATGAGCAATTGTCATTGATTGTTATGGTAAATATTATGTGCCTGTTACTCTTTTATTAACAAATTTTATTTGCTTTTTATTCTTTTCATCGTTTTTAGATGATGTCTTTTTATTGTAAAATTTTTTATACATACAAATAGGAACGAATATGAAGAACTGAGAATACAACCGCATTAAACTTTTAACAGGCGGTAAACAGATAAAATTGATATCATACATTTCAAACTAGAATGAAATCATCCTTTTTATGAAGAACTTTTGTTAGATGAGTGATGAAACCTGTTTTCATAAAAATAAAACTTCTAAATTTTTGTTGAATATAGGGTTCTAAGAGGGTCGTTGGTAAAACTGTTCGAATTTTCAAAGTTTGAGTTTGGAATACAAAACTTCTTTCATTTGAGTTGATAGTCGAAAATATTCTCGAAAAAAAACAGGAGTCGTCCGTACTTTTCGTCTATTGTAGTTTAGACACGATATTGGATTTATTGGAAGTTCCACGACTGATATAATATGACTCGGTGGACCCTGAAATATATCTGGAACATCATGTTAAGACGTGGTACTAGTTTTTATTAGAAATATTAGAAAACCTACTTTATACGCAGGGAGAAGAATACTCCGCCTTGCGGCCACCGTTTCCGGTATTGGGTACTGCCGAATGGTAGGTTCAAATAGCGTGACTCAGAGTTCAGAGGAAACAAATTAAACGATATTCATTCTCCATTTACACGGTTAAAATAAATAATCTGAAAACAGCAAAATAGAAAACTTTCCTTTTCAATAATTCAATAGTCTTATGAAATGTGTGCTGAACACGTTTTGTAGTTTTGACGCGATGAACTTTATTTCAGTTCTTTCATATATTTTTGGTGCCAAATAAATTATATCTAGCTTTAATCTAACAAAATGAATAATAAGTGTTCGAAAAGTGAATTGATACAGTTTTCTGTGAATTTCGGAAACTTCCCTATAGAATTGATTGGGGAGAAAAACTTTTATTTCATAATTGTGCTAAAATAAGAATACTATTAGTGCACAACATCGACGAATGTTTTCTAGAAATATTTCACGAGCACACAACTCATAAAAAACAATCTTGTATTAACATGTGTATAGAAACCTTGAACTTTAAACTTGTTCTCCTCAATCAAACAAAATATCTGTTTCAGTAACTGGATAAACAAGAAAGTAGTTTAAAAAAACAATCGTAAACCCTATTAAAGTTCCTTTTAAAATTATCTGCATTAAGTTGAAATAGAGCATAGAATATGTATGACTGTTATAAGAAGAGAAAAACAAAATGAAAGCGTTTTGATCTCGCCAAGTGGTCTTACTTTTATTATTGCCTTACGTCAATAGCGGAAAATAAGGATTAGATAGATATTTTACATTTTGAAGTAATGCTGTTATTGAGTAACTTATTCGCAGTTCATCATAGTTCATAAAAAATGGACATACGGATTCTCAATTCCAATTTCTAGTTTTGGTGATATTCATTTGTCTGATATTCATTTTATGAGAAAACTTAAAATAAGAGAACTCCGATCTGTACTTATTACTCCATTTATTAATGGAGATTGATCACCAAATACTGTTGACGATGTTTCAGCTGGATGGCGGATGATTTGTCATTGCCTTTTTGATCATAATACATACTTTTTGCTGATTATTTTTTTATAGAAGACAGCCATATGGTTTAAGTTCAGATGATGGCGAAAAAATATTAAAGCGGACCAGTTTCACTTATCATATACTATGGTCGAACGCTTTTCGAATAAGGAGGCTGCCGCTGGAGTAAAGAAATATCCTGGTTATGTATTAAACGGTTACAAGGAAAAAGCTAGTGATAAAGATATAAATAAAAGACCGGCGAATGTAGCGCTCGTTCGCCATTTTTGATTCTTAGATGAGCATGAAATTCAAATATTTGAAAATTTACAATCAGTTTCCGGATACGTTATATCGAGTATGGGTGTGGAGGTTAAAAAATATAGGAAACAATTACATCGATATTTATTCAGTAAATATCAAGTTGAATTTATTCAATGTCGAATTAATTGTTTATCCCGATTAGTTGATAAATATGAAATTACAATCAATTGTACGGGGGTGTCCATGCACGATATATTGTTAATGATGAAAAAATAAAACCAGTGCATGAACAAGTTATTCGTGTCTATGCATCTTGGATTAAATGTGCGTATTTTTTTTATAACGAAGAGGGACCTGAAGATATTATACCGAATTCGAACAATATCGTTTTGAGTGGAACGTTTGATTTAGATAACTGGAGTTCGACACTACACGATCGTGAGCTTTAATCCGCTTTTTTCTTGAAAGATATAAAAAAAACAGCACAAAACGTTGTAGAATTACGTTTTCGATCGAGTTACGTGAAATGTTCCTGATCGAATTCAAAATATATTTGAAACATGCTTGATTTTATGTAACCTTTTGTGCTAGTCATGAAACTAACATCCGTTTTAGTAGACCTTTATTGGTTGGGTTTCTAGAAATCAGACTTCTAAAGCCTTCATAAAAATTTTATGTTGAATAGATTCTGATACAGACACTTTGCACAGTGGACATCTAGGCGGACATTAGGTGAAAAATCGAAGTTAATCGTTTTCTAAAAACAAATAGTGTAAAATGTAGTCCTTCGAAAGGGCTATCGAATGGTGTATAAATGTCTATTTTGATGTCAACTCCTTCGATCAGAAACAAGGAGTCAAAAAATCCATAAGAAACATCGGTTTTACAGACCAGTCATGATTCTTTGCCCTTTTTCCTTCTTGGACTAAGTTAACTTACTGCGAAAAACACATATTCGGAATCACCATCACTTGCTCTATCTATCGATCACAGAATATCGCTACATCAAAACCAAATTCGATAAGTAATAGATCACGCATTCTTCATAGTGTTAGTCCAGCTTGAGACTACCTCAGTAACGTCGACGCGCCACCGTTAGCTACCGTCAAAAATAACATTTAAACACGTCAAAATGTTCCTTAGGCAATGCTGCATCACTGAGCTTTCCATCTTTTTCCACTTTTTTGTCTAAGTCAAGTTATGGATTTTGCAAAAGCCATAGGGTTTTTGAGGTATTTCGAAGTTTTCTCCATCAAAATCGCCCTTGTCTTAAAAAATGATGACATATTCGGAATCAGCGTAAAAAACTGCATTGAATGGTGTATAACTCATCTAGTTTCGGTCGCTTGATTTTGAATTCTAGAAATTTCTTAGTTTTTGAGATTCACACAAACAATTTCGTGCTGAAAATTTGAATTTCAAGATAAAG